TTAACAAATTCCGTTAATTTCTGCTTATCTGGAAATGTCCTAATTTCACCATCATATTTGAGGGACAATTTTGCTGGGTATATAATTCTTGGTTGGAAATTTTTCTCTTTCAGGGTTTTAGATATACCATCTCATTGTCTTCTTGCCTACATGATTTCTGGTGAGAAATCTGAGCGTAGTCTTATTGGTTGCCCCTTTCAGGTAACTTTTTGTTTTTCTCATGCTGCTTTCAGGATTCTTTCTTTGTCTTTGATTTTGGTGAGTTTGATGATGATATGTCTTGGTGATTTTCTTTTAGGGTCTCTCCAGTTTGAGGTTGGTTGGACTTCTTAAATGGATATATTCTCATCTTTCATCATATCAGGAAAATTCTCTTCCAACAAATCTTTGACAATTTTCTCTGTGGTTTTATTTTGTCTCTTCCTGTTCTGGCATTCCAATTACATGCAGGTTATTCCTTCTGAGGGTTTCCCACATGAACCTTAGGCTTTGTCCATTTTTTTTTGATCTTTTTTCTGATTGATCCCTTTCCAAAGAAGTATTGAGGTATTTGCCTTCAGTCTCCCTAATTCTGTCTTCCATTGATTCAATTCTACTCCTTTGCCTATTCAATGTGTTATCAGTTTCTGAAAATTTAGTATTAATTTTCTGGATTTCTATGTGTAAATTTTGTATCATTTCTAGTTTTTCATTTTATTCTTGAATTGTCTTTCAAAATTGTTCTAGGTATTCTCTGTGTTTTCTTCAATATTGTCAGTGTTTTCCTTGATCTGCCTCTCAATTTGTTGAAGATACCTACATATAATTCTTTTGAATTCCATATCAGGAAGTTCTAATGCTGCGTCTTCCTTAGGGATGTGTTTTGGGTCTGTATCCTGGTCCCTTGTTTCTCCTGCTTTTCTTGCTTCTTTGTGTGCACTGTGATGCTCTGTTGTCTCCAAGGCATTGTGGCGTTTTTGTCACAATATTTAATTGGCGATTGTATGTTGGAGTGACTTGCCCACAATTGTTATTTTCTTTGTATGTTATTTATGTAAGCAGGGTACTGTACTGTGCTCCTCTATTCACTAGTTGGCAGCACTTATACACTTATCGCCTGTCTCCTTTTCCATTGTCAGCCTCCCGTATGTCCCTGGTGTCCTTGGCAAACAGAGCCTATTCTTAGGCCCCTGAAATCTGAATGAGAATGCTGTCACTTTAAAATCCAAAATGGACACCATTTGTAAAGATTCAAAATGGCTGCACCCTCAGTCACTTTAAATATTCAAAATGACCACAGCTTGTAAATATTCAAAGTGGATGCACCCTCTGGACAGTGGAAAGTCCACATCTCAGGTTGTCTCTCTCCTTGCTGTTTCTCTTCCTAGTCAAAGGCCACTAGTGCAGTTGTCCCTGCAGCCGTTGGCAACCAGGGCTGATCTTTAGGTCAATTCTCAGGTCCTAACACCAGTTGGGGGAGCTCTGGTAGCATAGTGCCTAAGGCACTTGACTGCTAACTAGAAAGCTGGTGGTTCAAACCCACCAGCAACTCCTCAGAAGGAAGATGGGGCAATCTACTTCTGTAGTGATACTGCCTCGGAAACCCAAGGAGGGGTCACCATGAGTCAGGTCTGACTCGACAGCACATAACAATAGCAACAACAACACGACTTAGAAATATTCAGGCTGTTGGTCTCATCAGAGTAGCTGACAGTACACTACTCTGATTGTCTGTGTACTCGCTGTTTTCATTCAGGTTTTTCCACTAGTTGGTGCATAATCCACTTCTGTATAGTTCCTTTCAAAGCTCAGGGCTCCAGGATTATCTTCTGTATCTCTGTCAATTGGTTTCTCTTTTCTTTGTTGAATAGGGTCTGTGTAGCTTATCTGCCTATCCCTCCATCTTACCTGACTCTCTTCATAGACTTTTAATGACTGACTTTTTGGAAGTAGATTGTGAGATCTTTCTTCCAAGGCACCTCTGGGTGGATTCAAACTGTGGATCTATTAGATAGCAGCTGGGCAAGTTAACTGTTTGCACCAATAAGGGACTCCATATATACTCAGCTTTGTTTTCCTCTGATGCTGAGAGATTATATTGCAATTGGTGGTCACTACTGTGAGAGATCTGTACTTCTATGATTATTCTTCATTGTCAAGCAGATTCAGAGAAAGGTGTGGACTAGCGAGCACTTTCCTTTACAGTTTGGGTCAGTGGCCCTTGAGAGACTGAGTGACTTGACTGAAGTCATATTGCCAGTATATGTCTTACAACTAGAATTAGGACCAGAACACAGGTGTTCAGGTTCTTAAACCAAAGCTCTTGTCTTTGGTTTTCTTATGGTAGTTTTGCAGTGGTTTGAATCACAAACATTATTTAAAACAGAATGTGTTGAACACAAGAGCAGAACTAGAAAGCGTTTGTTGATTTTGTCTAGGGCTGTGATTTGGCAAGACTCACTTATTTAGGGATCTGAAGGAATGTGGAATGAAGAGCATGCAGAATTGAAATGGCATAGCCTGAGATCATTGTTGGGTGGGAAGAGTTGAATGACCGGAGGTAGAAGGGAGTGAAGAACACATTGAAATAGTGAAGAAGGTGAGGTAAAGTGGTAGCCTTATAAGGATTAAAAGCTTGGTTGAGTTTATGGCCTTGACAATTGGTTGTTGATAGAGAACGAAGAAAAAGACTATAGGTTACTGGATGGATGGTGCTTTGGGACCTTGAAGTATCTCAGAAGGGGAAGGAGAGAGGAAGGCATATGCAGTATGTGTCAGAATTTTCAGGAAATGTGGACTAATGAAAAATCCCTAGGAAACAGTAGTGTTAAGTAGACTTGAAGATGATGTTTATAGAATTAGATAGGTATATGTATAATTGTAATTTCAAAATTCTAATTTTCTCTCTTCTCCTCCAGGGAAAACTGAGGCTGCTATTAAAAACTTCAGTCCCTACTACAGTCGCCAGTACTCTGTGGCTTTCTGTAATCATGTACGAAGTGAAGTAGAACAGCAAAGAGATTTACGATCACAATTTTTGAAGATCAAGGTAACCCAAAGACATTTGGTATACATATTTCTCTCACTGAGGAAAGCTTTATAACTCATAATATTTATGAAATAAACAATAATTTGAGTTGTAGCTTTCAAAAAACCTGCTCTGAAATAATTTCATACTCATAAACCTCTACTGGCCTGGAAATTAGAACGTAAGATTTCTTGTTGATGTGTAATCCATATAAAAAGAAAACTATCATGATTCCAATTTTATAATGTGTTTTCTCCACATTGATGTTTTAATGCTGGGAAATTTAGCTGCTGTAGTGAAGTTTAGAGGAAAAATGGTCATAATTTTAGTGCTTTGTACTAGGGCCATTTTCATTTGATCAAATATGATTTTATCTTCTAATCCCCTAAATTCATTCTTTCTCCTTTGCTCCATTATAATTGTTGTCCATGACATCAACAGGTATTTATTGAGAATCTACTATTTGCCAGACCTTATTCTAAGGACAATGAGTCCCGCTGTTACAGTGGTTAAGTGCTCTACTGCTAATCAAAATGTTGGTGGTTTGAACCCACCAAGTGCTCCAAACCCAACAACTGCTCCACAAAAGAAAGATGAGGCAGTCTGTTTCTGTTCCTTACATTCAAATGTGGGGGACAGAGAACAAACAAATATATATATATATATATATATATATATATATATATATATATATATATATATAAAATGCAATATCAGGTAATACTACAAAAATAATAAAAGTGGTCAGGGAATCCTTGTCTGTGGAGATAATATTTGAGCAGAAAGTGGAGTGAGGTAAGGATAAGGAAGTAGGCTATGTGAGTAGTATGGGAAGAGTGTTCTACGCAGATGGATAGCAGGGTGCAAAGACCCTGCAGCAGTAATGTAGGCATAACTAAAAGCTAGTTTGCTGAAGGCAGTGTGAGTAAGAGAATGGTATGAAATGATTGCAGAGAGGTAGGTAGTGGCCACATCATGTGGGACTTATAAGCTATGACAGATGCTTGAACTTTGTTTTCAGTGTGATGGAAGTAGTCATTAGAGAGTATTGAGTACAGAGTGACATAATTGTAAATGACCTTTCTGATCTTTCTGTGGAGAGTAGACTGTAGGTAGGGGCAAGAGAAGAAACAGGAGACTAGAGTAGAGAATATGGTAGCAGTCCAAGTGAGAGATGATGGTACCTTGGACTAGGGTGATGCTAATCACGGGGGTGTGGGACTCTGTCCAAGTCAGGCTATATTTGGAGTAACAGATCTTGCTGATGGATGGGGTGAGAGATAATAGAAGGGGAGAAAAATCAATGATGACTTCTCTATTGTTAGCCTGAGGAAATATGTGGGTGGAGTTGCCTTTTACTCAGAAGGAGGAGTTAGGGATGGATGGGAATCATGAGTTCACTTTTGGATATGTTACATTTTAGATGCTTGTTCTTGACATACACCATGACAATATGGAACAGGCAGCCAATTGGTCTGAAACTCAGTACAGAGGTTAAGGCTAGAGATAGAAAATTGGGAGTTGGCAGCGTTTAAAGGCATGGGACACAACAGAGTCTAAATAGAAAAAAGAAGTTCCATGAACAAGGCCTAGCCCCTCTAACATTTGGAGATCAGAAAGAGAAGTATCTAGTAAGATAGACTAAGAAGAAATATCTTGTAGAGTAGGAAAACAACAACAACAGTAAAGTGAAAGGTGTCCAAAAGCAAATAAAGAGGTGTTTCAAGAAGGAGGGAGTGATCAATGAGTCATATACCACAGAGAGGTTGAGTAAATTAACCAATAGGTTTAGCACCTTGAGCATATATGGATAACTGATTGTTATTCCTATTTAAAAAAGTCATTCTCAAAATGTGGGGAGCCTGTTAAAAATGCAAGCCCTGGGCCTTATCGCCGTAGATTCAGAGATAGTAAATCTTGGCTGGGGCACATTTTTGACAAGTGTACCAGCTGATTTTAGTGACCCAGATTTAAGAAATGCTCCACATGTGAACTATAAATTTTGGTTTTACCATGAGGTTTCATCCTCATTTAAATAGAAATGTGAAGTCCTGCTTTACTTTTTAACAAGGAAAAAAAAAAAAAAA